AGTTGATATTGAGAATGAAGGGTGAAGTCTTGTGAAGAAATAGCATGTTGGCATTGATGATGATGATGTTGGCTGGGAATTGGAGATGATAATAATAATTTGGATTGAAGATGATAAGGTAATAATAATTCTTTTTAATAATTCCCAAATTGCCCTTTAGGTTTGACCAGCAAATCACACTTAGGACCAAATCGGGTAAAAATGCCATAGTCAGGGACAAAATTGAGGAATTTTGGTAGTCGAGGACCAAATTGGTGAAATCCTCATAGTCGAGGGACCAAATCGGTAATTAACTCTTTAAATATGTAATTCTAAGTTTACAAATGCAAGATAATATAGTCAAGATTAATTATAATTGTCATAAAATAATTGTATAGGTATGTTTGAAACCAAATACGGGACATAAAGGAGAGCAAATTAAAATTAAGACATAAAATATTAAATATATATACTAATATTAAAGAGCTAATTAACTGCTGATTGCTAAGCAAGGACATTGCGAGGTAGTTTCTCAGTTCAATTTGTTGTGTGATTTGAATACTCTTTTTATCAATAAATTCTCCAAGTAGTTAATATGATTGGCTTAATTATATTTTTTTATTTTTTTTAAACAATTATTATTATTATTATTATTATTATTATTATTATTATTATTATTATTATTATTATTATTATTATTATTATTATTATTAAATATATGTATACCCTAGGTCATTTTACGTGTTAATCTAAACAGTTAATTTTTTCAAATATCTTTTTACCAACCGTTGATATAATTCGCTGGTCAAATCCGCTAATATAATCCGCTAACGTTAACCGCTAACTGCTGATTGTCAAATAAGAACTTTGCGAGATAGTTCTTACTTCAATTTCTTGTGTGATTTGAATACTTTCTTTGTCAACAAATCCCTCAAGTAGTTATATGATTGACTTTATTAATTATATTGTTTAAATTTTTTTCATGGTATTAATAAAATACTTGGTAAATAAATATATATCATTATTTTGTATTATAACGTTGATATTTAATTAAAAAAATAGTGCACAAAAAAAAAGGATAATAGTGAATATAATCAATTGATGAATTTGAATGTAAAGAATTTTTACATTGGCGAAAAATAAAGACAATATAGTTAATAGAATTAATTCTCTTAATTAATTTATTGATAATGAATAATTTTTTTTTTAATAAAGACATTGTAGGGATAATGTAGCGAATATAATTCTAAATTAAAGAAATGCATATGTATTATTTTTTGTTGTAGCTACTAAATTATTATTTAATTTAATGAGAGTAAAATAGAGTACTAATTATGCCAACTTTGATTGGGATGGGGTTCGAATTTAAGACCTTTCTTATTGAAATCAATGAGTAAGTTAACGGTGAACTAACAGAAATTAACGGAAAAGATAATATTTAACGGAAAAGTTAACGGATAATCATATTCATTAAGGATAAATTAGAAAATCTTTAAAAAAAAAAATCTGATCAATCTAAGTCATTCATTTGATTAAAAATTTTGACCGCCATTTTTTCTACCCATTATAGGCCTAACTCTCTTGCACTCTTATTAGTATAGTAGAGATAGAAATAATAATTTAGTAGCTACAACAAAAAATAATAAATATGCATTTCTTTAATTTAGAATTATGGGTCTACATTGCATTTATTATAAAAAAAATTGTTTTGAATGTTACTGACTCTATTACAATGTAGTATTTTCATTAGTTATATTGTCTTTATTTTCAATAAATTAAATAACATAAATAATTTCATTAGTTATACTGTCTTTATTTTCTCCAATATAAAAATTTTTTTACATTCAAATTCATCAATTGATTATATTCACTACATTGTCTATTATTTTTTTTGTGCACTATTTTTCTAATTAAATACGGAGTATCAAAGTTATAATAAAAAATAATGCTATATATTTATTTACCAAGTATTTTACTAATACCATGAAAAAATTAAAAAATATAATTAAGTCAATCATATTAACTACTTGAGGGATTTGTTGACAAAGAGTGTATTCAAATCACACAACAAATTGAAGTGAGAAACTATCTCGCAATGTCCTTGTTTGGCAATCAGCAGCTAGCGGTTAGCGTTAGCGAATTTGACCAGCGAATTATATCAACGGTTGGTAAAAAGATATTTGAAAAAAATTAACTGTTTAGATTAACATGTAAAATGACCTAAGGGTATACACATCATAATAATAATAATAATAATAATAATAATAATAATAATAATAATAATAATAATAATAATAATAATAATAATAATAATAATAATCATCATCATCATCATCATCATCATCATAATCATAATCATAATCATAATAATTGTTTTAAAATTTAATAAAAGAAATAAAATTTAAAAAAATAAAATATATGGGGAGCCGAATGTTCGGCTCCCCTTAATTTTGCCACTTTTCTCACATCGGTAGAAAAAGTGGCATGGGAGCCTTGAGACTCCTATAAAAGGAGCCTTAAGGCTTCAATTTAAGAATAAGCTTGCTCATCCGTTGATGGGCAAGCAATGACAGGTGTTTTGGGGAATGGCTCTACAGTTTTAACTTCTTCTTTTTTTTCTTTTTTTTTTTAATATAGAGGTGTTTTTGGGAAATCATTCTCAAAAACGCTAAGTGAAAAAACATTGTAAATTGCAATGTTTGTATTTCAATGATTTGGAACAAATTGTTGCTTCAAACTATTGAATAACCAAACACTTTCTTTAGTATTTTGATATTTGGGTTACATCATATTTACCAATCGTCCAATATCTTTGGGTTACATTATAATTAAAAATTTAAATTTTTACTACTTCATCTAAATTCCTTAAATTAGGAATTTCTTTATCCATAATAATTTATTCAACAATATATATGGTTGAACTAAATGAACACTGAGCAAAACACCTAAAAGAGTGATACCATATATATATATATATATATATATATATATATATATATATATATATATAGAGAGAGAGAGAGAGAGAGAGAGAGAGAGACAAGTATCTTAGGCTAACAAAATTAATATGGATATTAAAAGAGTTGTTTTCTCAAAGGCTGCAAAGTTGGTAAATAGCATGTAAAAAGGGGCAAATTATGCTGTGAAATCGTGTTCAAAATTGTTCATAATTATAAATATATAGTTCAAAAATTATAAACATATAATTTTATAATTATGAACATAGAGTTGTGAACATAATTATGAATATATAGTTCTGTAATTATGAATATAGATTTAATCATGAATATACCTCTATCCAGAAATCATGAATATACCTCTATCCAGAAATCAAGTAGAAGACAAACTGATATGGGAGCCTGAGATTAATGGGGGATTCTCTGTGAAAAGTTGTTATAAGGTTCTAGGGGGTGATCTTAGAGATGGGGACAAACTGATTTGGTCTAAGTTCTGGAATCTAAAATTACCTCCAAAGGTGAGACTATTCTATTGGCAACTCTGCTCCAAGTGTCTACCCACCATGGACTTACTAAGGATGAGGAAAGTGGAGTGTGATGATATTTGTAGTATATGCAGCAATGGGCAGGAATCTATTGAACACGTACTTATGCATGGATTGCTCCTTAGCTTCTGATTGCTGGAGGGCTTTAACCATCAATCTGACTCATATTCACAATGAAACATTATGGGAATGGATGGACAGATTATATTCTTCTCTCAGCTCCGAACATATCTGCAGGTTTATTATGTGTTGTTGGGAGGTGTGAACCAGAGAAATAATAAGATTTGGCATAATAAATTACCACAACCAGCCGCCATGATTATCCGTAATGCCAATTCTTTTCTCACTAGCTGGAGGGAAGCTGGAGTTGCAAACAGAAACATTACTTCCAGAGACGAACAAAATATCACCAGATGGTCACCTCCTCAGCCGGGTTTTCTGAAGCTCAATGTTGATGCTGCTCTGGATAGTAATCGGGCAAAGATGGGTTTCGGCTATGTTCTTAGAGATGATATCGGCAAATTTGTTGCAGCTAAAAGTTCACGAATGTCAGGGACTTATCTTCCAAGAGAAGCTGAAGCAGCGGCAATTAGAGAAGCTTTGAGCTGGCTTAAGGAAAGAAATCTCAGCAATATCCATGTTGAATCCGACTCTCTTCTAGTTGTCCAATCTCTTGAACACACTTGTGGGGACTCTTCTTTTAGTTTAATTCTTAGAGATATTAAACATCTTTTGAATGATCTAGCTCATGTGCTTATCACTTTTGTAAAACGACCAGCGAATCAGGTTGCTTATTTGTTAGCTAAGCAATCTATTTTTGTGCCTGGTTGCTCGGAGTGGTCTTCCAACCCTCACTTTATCATTTGTAATGCTTTGTCTTCAACTTAATCTAATGTTTTTTCTCTTAAAAAAAAATAATAATTATGAATATGAAGTAAAAATTATGAATATATAAGTTTATAATTATGAGCATATAGTTCAATAATTATGAATATATAATTTAGTAATTATGAACATAAAATCATATAATTGTAAATATGAAATTTAAAAATTATAAATATATAACTTTATAATTATTAATTAACATATAATTCAGTAATTATGAGTCCGGTTCTACATCATAACGATTGGTAAAAAGGTGTGTTGCAATGATTAGAAATGGTTGATGCGCGGGCCATGGTGGGTGTAGGTGCAACTGTGTAAGGCTAGATGCCTCATGCCTGATGTGTTTGTGTTCTACTAGTTCTAGCAATGTGCCTGCAGCGAGTGCGAATCAGCGGCAGGCGGCAGCAACCAAAAATTAGTGACGTGGTGGCAGGTGTTGCGGTGCCACAGGTTTTCATTAATTTTTTTTTTTTTTTTTAAAAAGCGATTTATTTATTTATTTATTATGCCTTTCTTTTTCAATCTCTCTTTCTTTATTCCTAGTAAGCACTTGTAGCGCTTGTGTGATGTGTCTTCTCCACCTTGATTCCTTTCTTTAAAAACAAAAAAAAAAAAAAAAAAAAAAAAAACAAAAAAAAAAAAAGGAAAAGAAATATACTGTTGTTGAATGATGTGAAGGTGGGAAAATTTTTTGGTTTGTAGTGAATACTTGTGATGTGTTCACAGTAGCGGTTCTAGTTCTAGATTTGACGATCGCGAGAAGGAAAGGAAGCCATTCTGGTTTCTGCATGTTGGTGCCGCTAGACCAGTGGTGACCAAGTCGGAATTTTTCAACTCAACAGTCAGCAACCCCCTCGGCTCTCTGGTAACACTATCTCTTTCATTGATTCCATCCTAATTGCTTTTTTTATTTGATGCATTTGCTGATTGGGTTGTTGCCCGTGCACCTGTACCCTTGCCAAGTTATTATCTTTCCGTTTTAATGTTTCACTAAATTTTTGCTGATTTTTTCTTCGTTTATTTTGATCAGTGTTGAATAAATATGAGTGGAGCTGTGGCTGTTGCAATTGCTGCGGCTATTGGCAACTTATTGCAAGGATGGGACAACGCCACCATAGCTGGTCTGGTTTTTCCATATTCGTTCACTTAATTATGTTCTCATCATCCCTCTTCCCAAAATCCTTTTTTTTTTTTTTTTTTTTTTTGGGTTCTAATCTTGTATCCTAGACACCTACCTGTGCTTCTTTCTACTTTAATTAACAGTCCATCTACACAAATTCTAAACATTGAATTACAGGTGCTATACTGTACATAAAGAAGGAATTCAAGCTGGAAGATGAACCTACTATAGAAGGTCTTATTGTGGCCATGTCTCTTGTTGGAGCGGTTTTTATCACAACATGCTCTGGTGCAATTTCTGACTCGCTTGGACGCCGTCCCTTGCTTATAGTTTCATCTGTTTTATATTTTATCAGTGGTCTTGTGATGCTGTGGTCTCCTAATGTTTATGTACTCCTCTTGGCAAGGCTTTTGGATGGGTTTGGAATTGGTTTGGCAGTTACTCTTGTTCCAATTTATATATCAGAGACAGCACCTCCTGAGATAAGGGGTTTATTGAACACTTTGCCTCAGTTCACTGGTTCTGTTGGAATGTTCTCTTCATACTGCATGGTTTTTGGGATGTCATTGACAAGTTCCCCAAGTTGGAGGCTGATGCTTGGTGTCCTTTTCATCCCTTCTGTTGTTTACTTTGCATTGACTATTTTTTACTTGCCCGAGTCCCCAAGATGGCTTGTCAGTAAAGGGCGCATGCTTGAGGCGAAGAAGGTTTTGCAGAGACTTCGTGGCAGAGAAGATGTGTCTGGTGAGATCTTTGTTGCATTTCGTACATGTTATTTTTTTAATGTACCAGAGTTGCCACATTGCAATTAGAGTAGTGTATGGTAGGTAAATTTACTAACGATGATGTACTCAGTGACTCAGTTTCCATGATTAAGTAAGTTTATGATTTTAATATTCCTTATTTGAACAGGGGAGATGGCTTTGCTAGTTGAAGGTCTTGGAATTGGGGGAGAAACTTCTGTAGAAGAATATGCAATAGGACCTGCCCAAGAACTTACTGAGGATCAGGAACCTGGCATCCATAAAGAGCTAATAAGATTATATGGACCTGAAGAAGGGATCTCTTTGGTTGCTCGACCTGTCACACGACAGAGTTTTCTCAGTCTTGCATCTCGCCCTGGGAGCATAGTGACCAAGAAGGTCCCCCTTATGGACCCTGTTGTCACTCTTTTTGGCAGTGTCCATGAGAAGATTCCAGATACGGGAAGCAAGGGAAGCATGCTTTTTCCTCATCTTGGCAGCATGTTCAGTGTAGCTGGAAATCAGCCCAAAAATGATGAATGGGATGAAGAAAGCCTGACCAGAGAGGGTGAGGACTATACATCTGAAATTGCTGCAGCTGAATCAGATGACAATCTGCAAAGTCCACTTATATCACGACAAACAACCAGCATGGATAAGGACATGGTTCCGCCTCCATTCCAAGGAAGTGTTTTTAGCATGAGACAAGGTAGTCTTACCCAAGGTGCTAATAGCGAGCTGGTAGGTAGTGCAGGCATTGGTGGTGGATGGCAACTTGCTTGGAAGTGGATAGAGAGAGAAGGTCCAGTGGGAAATAGAGAAGCAGGCTTTAAAAGAATATATTTGCATGAAGGTGGCATTGCTGGAAAGTGGAGGGGATCCCTAGTTTCTGTTGCTGGGGATGATATGCCTGCTGCTGGTGAATATTTTCATGCCACAGCTTTAGTGAGTCAACGAGCTTTATATTCGAAGGATCTCATAGATGAGCACCCTATTGGACCAGCTATGATTCATCCAGCTGAAGCTGCTACAAAGGGGCCTAGCTGGAGTGATTTATTTGAACCAGGAGTCAAGCATGCATTGATTGTAGGGGTGGGGATTCAGATACTTCAGCAGGTAATCCTTGAAAAATTTTACAACTTCTGTTATTTGATCTATGTTCTTCGTTATTTAAATGCCCATCATTTCCAGTCTTCCAGGCTGGTACTGATCAGTAATGAAGCCATAAAATCAATTATAATATGATTTAAATCACTTTGTACACCTTCAATGGTTAGAGTTCAGACAGTAATAAAGTCATAAAATCTCTTCTCGGCTTTCATTAAGTTTCTACCCAAAAAAAATATGACAGCATTTGTAGAAATGAGTTCAACAAATGTTAAATATTGAGGAAGAAGCTTTCTACTTATTATGTCTCTATTTATTCATTGGCTGGGAACATGTATATATACATATTTACAAGGCATCACATCCACACACATGAATTGAAGGGATATGAATGATGTAACAAGCCCAACCTCCCTTGACTCTCTCTAACAACTACAATTCATTAATTAACTAAATTTATTTGAGAAAGATACATTTCTTAGGCTCAAAGACCTCCATATATCACAAAGATATCAGAAGAATGACAGACAGAACCATATCAATCAGTTAATGCAAGTTTGATTGTATTTATTGCACTTTAGAGTTTAGCCTCTTTTGCCTTCAAATGAACAAAAGTGTTTTATTAGATATGTTTTATTACTTGAAACTAGCCAATTAGGATCATACTATGAGAATAGATATTATTTTATCTGCTACCCAAATTAATGAAGGCTTAGCCCCCCTCTCCTTTGTATTTGATCTTTTGAGTCTTTGTTGTATAAACATAACCAATCAAGGCCTTGGCACTCTGGATTACATTCAAAGTATTTACTCTTGAATTTTCAATGTCTATTTAGAAATCTAATGATTGAATGATGTGTTCTAACTCTACTAAAAGTTTAAGCTATTATTGAGAAAATGCATAATTTTAAATTGCCCCCTCACATATTGCCAAATATATTTTTTGATGGGGTATTCAAATGAAAATGTTTTGATGACGGATTCAAATCCAGGACCTTTTATTGTTTATATTTATCTCAACACTAACCATTTTTCCCGATTAGATGCACATACCACTTCCATAACTTTGGGATGGTAGGGAGCCAGCTTACCAAATTTGTTACTCTCGCTTTCACTTTGGGTTTAGAACACTTGTAAGCTTTTTGTTTGGCAGTTTTCTGGGATAAATGGAGTTATGTATTACACTCCTCAAATACTTGAGCATGCGGGTGTCGAAGTTCTTTTATCAAATATGGGCATCAGTTCAGCATCTGCATCTCTTCTAATTAGTGCTATCATAAACTTGTTGATGCTGCCTTGCATAGCAGTTGCCATGAGGCTTATGGATCTTTCTGGCAGAAGGTGATCTGTTTTCCTCTTCATTTATTTTCTTGCATATGGCGGTTCATATTTTGTAGTTGTGTTCCTGTTCCATTAACCACGAAATACTCGCAAGTAATTTCTTCAAGATAAAAGCAGAGGACCATGTTTGTTTCCACATGGTGTAGTGTGTGTTTTTTAGATCCAATAACCAACTTTTTTGGGTTTCAAGCTGGATATCCAAACTGAAAAGATAGCAAGGATATGATGAGTGTGAGTTTATTTGAAGTAAAATGATGTCAATACAAAATGGTCTGGGGAACACAACACAAGAAAGTGGTGTCAAAGTTGTTAAGAAAGATTCATGCTTGAACGGCAGTAGAGTCCATGCCTGCCGGTAACCAAAACTTGTTATTAGCTGAGTATTTGTTGCATATATGTTGTTTGTGACATTGGCTTTGAAACTTTTACATTATTCATTGACATTTTGCAGGAGTTTGGTGCTAGGCACAATTCCTATCTTAATCACCACTCTTGTAATCCTAGTTATTGGAAATGTGGTGCATATGGGATCTGTTGCGAAGGCAGCCATCTCAACAGTTTGTGTTGTTCTTTACTTGTGCTCGTTTGTGATGGGGTTTGGGCCTGTGCCGAATATCCTATGCTCTGAGATATTTCCGACTAGGGTTCGTGGTATCTGCATTGCCATATGTGCCCTCGCATTTTGGATCGCTGATATTATTATTACCTATTCATTGCCTCTCATGCTCTCCTCCATCGGCCTTGCTGGTGTTTTTGGTATATATGCTGTTGTGTGTGTCGTATCATGGGGTTTTGCTTTCTTGAAGGTGCCTGAAACCAAGGGGATGCCTCTTGAGGTGATCACTGAGTTCTTCGCCCTTGGTGCAAAGCAGGCAAACTAGTTTAATTTGTTTGGTAGTAGTAGTAGTAGTGTACAATGACTTAATTTCTTCTTCGGTTGTCTTTATTTTTAGGGTGAGTTGTAATTTACTCTTTATAAAATGTCCTACAGGCTACAGGGGGTTGCTTTTTGTTTTCTCAATCATTATTCTAGTTATTATGTTATTAAAACAGGGTCAAATAGTTCTAGATGAATACAATTCTGTCTAGGAGATAGAGTGGACCATCTTCCAAGATTCTCTTCAAATCAATTTCCCCAAAGAATTGGTGTTTAGCTCCATTACATGCATACCTTTCCCCGAGTGCACACTGAGGCATATGTATGTCTCATTATTTGGAACTTACCAACAAGAACGAGCTTGTGGTCATCAACCTCCTTTATCTCTTTGTCATTATCAATGATTAATTTTTGGCTTCATCATCAAGCAAAGACATAAAAGCATATATTGTTTTAAGGTTATGGGAGCCTCAAGGCCACAAGAATGGGAGAAAGCCAAGGGCACACAAATGTCTAACAGTCTAAGGAAGCAAGGAGGAAATGAACAAGTTGTTGGAAATTTATAGATAAATAATGTTGATGATTTATATGTATATGACATTTATGTGATTATTTGGAGTTGTAGAGTATATATAAATGATAATATATAATATTAGATGTTGGATAAGAATTTTAATTATGTGAGAATTATATATATATATATATATATATAAGTCCATGCTCTGGTGCGATGCTGCTCTCCCATGCGGTCGTGCGAACATATCAGAATTGTTGGATGAGTTGAGCTTAAACGGATGGAAATCAATGAAGAAGAGATAAGTGGTGGACAATTTCGTAATTTCCTACATAAGGTATATTTCGACAGTGCACTATGTTCTAATGTGTGGTGCACTTTGAGTGATACGTGGTGCACTTGACCTGTAATACACTTAGTATTGCACCACTCAATGAGATGTCAAATCCGTCAACAGGTTCAATTAACGGTATTACTCAACAGGTCTATTGAGCCCATTTTTAGCGTGGATTGGCGTGGTTGTTCAGTAACTCAGCTCGTCTCTTAAACATGAAGTTGGACTCGCTCATAACTGATGAACTAAACTCGGATACGACCATAAGTTAGGGACTATTAAAATGCAATTTTCTGTATATATATTATGCATATAGTATATGATGAATGTGATTAAATATGATAAACCGTAGAGATTGTTAACAACTTAATATAAACAAGAATTGGGTGGTAAGTAGTTAGTATAAGAAGGGCAAGATTTATGAATTTACAGCCCATTATATTAGGATTACAATATATGGGGCAAATAAGACATACAGATGAGACGCCCAGAAAAGTGTTACTGGATAACAACAGTCAATGAAGAGTGAAGATATTGAATAATCAATGAATGAATCGCGATGCAGGTTGGGAGGAGATAATTAAAGATCGACAAAGGGGACATGTGAAGTGGTTTCTGTCTATCCATCTGTGGATGCAGTCGACGTGAAAGAGGTGGCCGCATCTGCGGAGTTGGTTCACCCAATCCTCTTTCGCATACTCGCCCAAGCAAATGGAACAACATTCTTCTCCTAGGCTGCATTTCTTAATATCCCCGAAAATGATGGCGTCAAGCTCAAGCACTACTACCCGGTCATCGTCTCCTGCTTCATGGTAATGGTAATGGTAATGGTATTGGTATTGGTACTGACACCACACCAGCCTCATCATCTTAACCATAACCTGCTTTATTTCAAGGAACGGGATCCATATGCAAGTGTACAAGATAATAGTAGCAGTGGAGATGGGTGAGTGGCTCTGCATTAGCCCGCAAATCATCATTATATATTTATATTGCCTTAGCTTGCCTCGATCGGATAGGCTCTTCTTCAATTCCTAGCTACCTAGCTAGTTTTGAGGGAGAAATATGAAATACAAATGAGACGAGCTAGGTAGAGATCAGAGCATAATTATGCACAATGCAAAATCAATATATATATATATATATATAGCCACTGAACGTACTGGTCGGTCGAGTTCCCAATTAAGTCAACCACCTTTATTTAAGGATTAATTAATTTTGTGAAGCTAGGGATCTCTCTCTTGCATTTGACTTTTTGGACTCCATCCTACCACCTAGCGCCGGCAAAGGAATATAATAGCACTAATAGACATGTTTCTTTCTTCGGGGGAAACACTTGAATATTCCGGGGGTGTGCAAGGCCGGCGCCGACCTCGCGCACCCAGGTGTCACACTCCCACGCACTACATCTACATGCAATAATTCTCTCTTTAATTAATTTCTTCTCCCAAAATATTAACGCGCACCGCAAAATGAGGAATCCAAATCTTTCGCACTCATTAACGAAACATAAAAGAGTATAATTTTCACTTTTAAAACCCAAAATATATATATATATATATATATATATAAAATCATTGATTTTGTTTAAGATGAGTTTTGGACGAATTTTAAATGAGTTAGTTTTTATAAAATCTCCCTTATTTGTTTACCTCTTACCGCCATTCAAAGTTTTAAGGCATGATCTCTCTCATTCTCTCCTTTTTTGGGAGCTCTCAGTGTTGAAAATCTCGTTCGTTCTTTCCATCTAACGTTTCTTGGACAGAAAATAAAATATTCAATAGAAAAAGGTTTCTGACCAAATAAAAAAATTCAAAATAATCTTCATTTGAAATTTCATCCAATTCTAACTTTTAACCAAAAATAATGTCCAACGAACAAAAATTGGTTGGAAATTTCATAAAGTAACCCGTCATTCTTAAAACATGAAAATTTTCGTCCAACTACGTGTGTTGAAATTTCAACCAACCTTGGACGTACGAAAAATTCTCATATTATATTTTGTGATTTACTTTTCAATTGTTGGACGAAAATTCTGACGAACAGTTGGAGGGAAATATCAAGCAGGGTTGTAAAAATCGGTCTAGGCGTCCGCCTAGGCCCCGCCTAGGCGCTAGGCGCTTATAGACCGTGGCGATTTCCCCCCTAGGCGCCCGCCTAGGTTACCGGCCGCCTAGTGTCTAAGTTAGTCGAGTTAACTCGTCCATTTCGGTTGAGTTAACCCGATTGGCTCGGCCTATTTTTTTATTATATATATATATATATATATATATTTATATATATATGTGTGTGTGTGTGTGCGCGCGCATACATATATATAATATGACATATATACACTCGTAGACTAGTTTGATACTTTGAATCTTTGGATGATTGAAGTATTTGAGTATTTCATATTTGAGTATTTTTAATTTTTAATATTGTTTTAGTATTTTTTTTTTTGAAAACTATTGTTTTGATGTTATGACTTATGAATTATCATTAATTCATTTATTTGGATGTGTTATTTGATTAAATGTTAAAAACAACCTCATTAAAATTGTCAAACTGCAAGTCTACCACTGATTGTTAGCGCCCGCCTAGATTCCGCCTAGGCGCCGCCTAGACCGCCTAGGCGCTAGGCGCTGTCCGAGCGCCCGACTAGCGCCTAGCGCCTACTGCAACCATGATATCAAGTACTGAATGTTGTGAGCTTCCTTTTAACTGTTGATAGGAAAATTTTAAATCATATGGGATGTTTTTATTATATATATTACCATAATTGTATTTCTACCTGTTGACTATTGTTAATAAATTATACTCCGTATGTCATTAACAAATTAATGTACACACTAAATTTCAAATTGAAAATATATTTAAACATCAAAATTATTTACAACAAAAATATGGTCACGTCCATTGTACTTCCAACAATAGACTATTACCATACCCTCCTCTCCACCTAAAGCAGCTTCATCAATACGCCCAAAAGTTACAGAAGTATGCTCGCTAGCCCCTTTGGTAATATGCCCTATGGGCCTTGAAGTATGCTCCATGCTCTGTGGGCCTTGATTATCTTATATAACTTGAACCAAATGTCCCGGAAATATGATTAAGCTTTGATTTTGAAGATTCACATCCATTAAGCATTCCTAAAAACCTAAGTGGTTTTTGAATGATCCTTGTATCTATATACCTTCCTATCTTGATTTTGTGACTTTTGCTGTATTTACAGTTTGCTATTTCCATTTGGGTCATTTGTTTGAATTTGTTTCATATAAAAATCTTTAACTTCGTTGATTCATATGTACTATTCTTGTTTCTAGCTACAAGGTAAAGTGATGACATCTTTGAGATTATTTACACAAAGTTGAAGATGAATTTGATTAGAAGCTTAAATTCTTGTAATTATTTAAGACATTTTGGCCCTGTTGGGTAAACAACGGTTAACCAATAGTTGTTAGCTGTTTAGGTTAATTAGAGGGTATACCTAATTAATAACATTAGATGATTGTAGAAAGGTGTTCGGTAAATTAGTAGTTAGCTGATAACTGTTTGGTATAATTTCTTTTCTCAAAAAGTTAATTGAAAAAATTAATTTGAACAACTTTTTAAATTTTATCATTTTAGAGTTATAAAAAGTTAATTAACTAAACACTTATTTGTTTTCTTAACCAAGTTAAACAATTAATAGTGGTCAAATAAATCAAAATTGGCTAATATGTTAACTATTTTACTAAACAGAGCCTTTTTAGTATTAGGCTGCAAAATGCATCACCTGTTAGCTACTCTGAAATGCCATTGGAAAAGAGTGCCAAGTCTTTGTGGTGGTCGACGGAGGTTTTTGCGGGAACCTCAAGTGGTCGGAAGTCGGAACAACAGTTTCCGACCGGATTTAGGCAATTTCTGACCACTTTTGAGTGGTCGTAAATTTAAAGATTTCCAGCAATGACCAGTCTCATCAGATTTTCTATTCACATCCCCAACCCCCTAATTGAAGTAAACCAAAAAAGTAATTACACAAAGGTATGTACAGAAACAGAAATAAAGATCCAGCACGCAATAAACCTTAGAATATTCTTCTAATACTCCTTCCTGTGCTTAACAAAGTAAAGCAATACATTATACTCACTCTTTTAAGCTCAGCCGTGCATTTTGGACTTTAACTGACAACTTTAACTTCTGCTCCTCCATATCTTTCAGCACAGCAAGCAGATTTGAGCGGTATACTTCACATCGTTGATTTATGCTGTCTAACTCAGCAGTCAATTCATGGATTCTTTTTTCCTTCTCATTTTTCTATCAAGAAAAAATGTG